CCTGTTTAACAGAGAAATTCTCCATGGCCTGCCCTGAAGACCTGTAAAGGGCTTTGGTAGTTTACCAACACTTATTAAAGCCATTATCCTAACAGTACCTGATATTTGATCTTTTCTTAGATGCTATTTCTTAATTTTTGCATCGTTTGTCATCTGGAGAAGGTGGGAGGTAGAAAAAAAATAGTTTCCTAACCCAGCATGTCCTAGTTCCTGAATGCTCAAGGGTTGGTTCTTTAGCTGCTCTCTCTCCTCTTGCCTTTGTTACCATAGACAGTGAAAAGGAGTCAGGTGGCACTTTTGACATTCCACCTTGGTGCTGAGGGCCATTGCCAAGTAGGAATGACGCATCAAAATTTCCTTGCCAGCGTACCCCATGTTAAATGGACTTGCCTTGGAAATCCGCTGTGACCTTGAATGTGTGTTTGAGAAAGGTGACCCTGCTCAAGGACGAGGGTGGATCCAGGTTTAAGGTGTATCCTGCAGGTTTGAGGAAGTATCCCGCTCCTTGGGTTTAGGGCGTTCCCGGGGCAGATTTTAGATTTCCCCTGAACGTGGGTGGAGGACAGTGTGAGTTCAGGACTAAAGAATTGCTGTTTAAATCTACAAGGTGTGTGGTGGCTCGTGATTCTGTGCCCAGCCAAGACTGCGGCACCTTGGAATCTCCTCAGCTATACCAGAGGTCAGCTGGTGAGCAGGTAGCATGTTTTTGTAATTAATGCCTGTTTGTAAATTCATGCCTGTCTGCCAGTCTTGCACATGGCAGAGCCAAGTGGTTGCAACAGAGACAATGTGACCCCCACACTTGATTGTAGAGTTGTTTTTCTATGGCTCTTTGCAGAAGGGGTTTGCTCACCCTACCCAAGACAATTGAGTCCATTAGATACATTTTTCATTTTCCAAAGGTGTTGCCAAATCTATGCCACTGTATAACAAGGATTCCTCCTTTAATTTTCCAATAACAGGTTGCCCATAGCTAGACTAGTCCACTGGAAGGCAATCAGCACTCTTCAGTACTTACTGCAACTGGGGTGCTGGGTCCAGCCTTCTCCACGTACTGTGTGGCCATCCTCCCACTGGGAATCCTGTCTGAGGCTGGCAAAGGACTCCACCATTCAAGATATTTCTCTGTGCAGCCCAATCGCAACTCCACTCCTGAACCTCTTATAGCTTTTGTGCTGATTAGGTTCCATTGCAGAGAACAGAGTTTGCCTGAGCTGACATGAGGACTGAAAAATTCATGACCAGCATTAAATGGCTTTTGGAATCATTGGAAGGGGTGAAGACTCATATGGGCTAAGCTTCCAGGAGTGTCTCATAAAGCTGCTGCAATAGATCCTGCCATTGCAGCAGCAAAGAAGACTAGGAAATGTGATTTTTAGCTTCTTCAATGGTTTAAGTCTGCTTGTGTGGCTGTACAGCATGGACTGGTGACTTGAATGGCAGAGATTTGTTTTTTCACAGTTTTGGAGTCTAGAAATCCAGACCAAGGTACCCTTAGTGGTGGGCTTGAGAGGGCCATCTGTTTGCTGTATCCTCATGGAGGCTTTCCTCTGTGTTTGTGTGTGTGTGTGTGTGWGWGTGTGTGTGTGTGWGWGTGTGTGTGTGTGTGTGWGWGTGTGTGTGTGTGTGTGWGAGAGAGAGAGAGAGAGAGAGAGAGAGAGAGATCGATTGATCCATCTCTGGGTCTTTTCCTCTTCTTATATGGACACTACTTCTATCAGGTTAGGGCCCTACCCTTATTACCTCATTTAACTTTAATTAAATGAGGTAATAAGGGTAATAAGTTCTCTAAAGGCCCCCCTCTCCAAATGTAGTCACATTAGTTGTTAGGGCTTCAAATATGCGTAGAAACGATTCAGTCCACAACACCAATTCTCCTCAGCAGGGAGGCAAAATCAAAATCCTCAGACAGGATTCCCAGTGGGAGGAGGCCACACAGTATGTGGAGAAGGCTGGACTCAGCACCCCAGCACTCTGAATATTGAGCAAACCATTTCGCAATATCCATCAAACTTTGAAAAACAAAGGTGAAGTTACTCATTGCAGCATTATATGTGTATTAGCAAAGGCTTGGAAGCAACCGCAACAGAAGGGCCCACAGACAATTAAATAATGGAATACTATGTAACTGTGAAAAAATAAGGGAACTCTGAGAGGAGTGTCTGGGATGGAAAACGCTCTATGATGGGGTGTTAAGTGGAAGAGAAATTTAGAACAAGTGAGCAGTTTACTATATGCCCAGCAAAGGAAACATCTATTTTTGATTATTACCTGTGCATATGTGTGTACATGTGTATGTATGTGTGCATCTGTGTGTTTTCCAGTAGGTATTATTTGCTCACATATATTTATTTATAAATGACACAAACAGACAGCTATGGTTGCCATGGAGGGAGGAATTGAATAGCTGAGGCCAGAATGGGAGAGAATGTTCTGTGGTATGTTTGTGCATTTGGGGGTTGTTTGTTTGTTTAGAAAGCAGATTCTGAAGACTGTTTGCTGTCCAGGATGTTTACTGCAGAGTGCCCTTGGGATCAATGTCTGTGAGAGAGGAGAAGGAATCCAGTTTGAGCACAGGCGGGAGCTGACCTGCAGCTGAGGCCTGGCACCAGCATCCTCTGCCTGCCCACTGAGAACTCAGGAGCTGGAATGGCTTAAGAGTTATCTTGCTTTGGACCTTCAACAGTCACTGGGTGTGAACTGCCGGGAGAGGGTGTGAGCTTGGGAGGGGCTCTTCACAGCTGCAGCAATGCTTATGGGCTGCAGATCCAAGCTCCCTGCTCATCACACTCCCCTGCTCATCACACTCCCTGAGGTTGGACAAGTCCTTCCTGGAATGGGAATCTGAAGGCCACATCTCTATCATGCAGGGCCTCTTGATACTTCTCTGACATCACCTCCTGCTAATGTGCATCTCACTGCTTTGCACCTTATGTGTTTCTATCTCAAGTTCTTTTTCTTTACTGTTCCTTTGTCCTTATTGTTCCCCCCGCTTAAATAACTAGGTGGTTCATGCTTCCATTTCCTTACTTCATAGTTCCTCTCAGATAAGAGGATATTTCTCCTTAGCTGAGAGGATTCCCAGACCAGAGGACTTCCCTGACCATCTCAGTCAACATAGTACACCATCCCTGGAATCCTATGATATGACTGTTTCTTTAACATGCTTTACTTCTTTTTCTGCGTCACATCATCTCTTAGTATACATTCCTTTGTTTATTTACTTTTTGTAGTTCTTCACTGACAGCAGCCTCCTCACTCTGTATTGAGCCCAGCTGTACCCTCAGTGTCTAAGATCACACAACAATAGGAGCATAGCATGCTTTCAACAAATAAGTGTTCCATGAATGTATGAAGGCACCAGACACTGTGCCTGGCTCAGATGGAGTTGTAAGCAAAATCACTGGTAGGCGCTGCCTTCAGGGAGCTTGCTTTCTGGGTGGGGAGAGGAAGTAATGAATCCATCACACAGACATAAATTTCAGTCATGAAGTGACCTGTGATGAAAAGGATCATGGTGCCAGAAAAGCAAGAGCAGGTAACTGAAAGGAAGGGCATAGAAAACTGTCGTGGGAAGTGACAGTGACGTGTGGGTTGCGATCTGAAGAACGAGCAGGCTTTGTTTAGGTAAAGGAAGGGGATGGATTTATCTTTTGAAAATGTCACTCTGGATTGAATGAAGAGACTAAATGATGGGGCGAATGTGTGCGTGTACACAGGATTATTAGGAAACTATGGAAATCCTCTAGCAGAGGGGTGATGGTTACCAGAATTAGGGGGACTCTTGTGGTTGGGAGACACATCTGGATTTGAGAATTATGAAGTACACAATAGATGAGACTCCCTTATGGCCTGTATATAGGAGGTAAGAGAGATAAATTGTATAGATGGTTGAGAGAATATTGGAAGAGGAAGTAGTGCATTTTACTTTATTTCCTGTTTATGTATGTATATGGGGAAGAACAGTGAAATAATTATCATTTTCATTTTGAGGTATTACTGACATCTCCAATATGAAAAATCAAGTAGACCATTGGTTTTAAGAATGAAGAGTTCAGACATGTATCCTGAACTGGAGATACCCTTTTTTTTTTTTTTTTTAATTCTGTGTAGGTGGTATTTAAAAATGTGGGAGTAGATGAGATTGCCCAGCTAGAAAACAGTGAGAAGAGATGAGTCGAATGACCTTGAGGAAATCCCATGGTTAGTGAAAACAGATTTATCAAAGAGAAACAGGACCAACTTGATATGTTGGAGGAAAATGTAGTATTACCTCAGGACAGCATTTCTACAAGGAGTACTCAACAGTGTCAAAACTACTGAAAGAGTACGTGAGAACTGAAAAATACAGTTGCACTGATAACAGGGAGATCATTGGCGGTGTTTGTGAATCGCTGTTTCTGTTGCAGAAGGAAGGTTAGGGTGAGTGGAGACGTGGTCACACAGAAGTTGAGGGGCTGCTTTAGGATGGGACGGGGCACTCAGAGTTTACAAGAAAGAATGAAAAGTCCCTGCAGAGGACTTATTTTAAATACTACGGAGTGACTGTTGCAATGGGAAGAGAGTGCAGGGGTGCAGAGGTGAACAGCTTGGTGTGTGTGGCATAGGGGGAAAATGAAAGAGAAGTACCTGCTTCTCCAAGCGTTATTAATAAGGGCGACTTGTAAAGGGTGCTCGGCTCTCCAACTGTTTCACGAAAAGTCAACGTGCATCCATACTCAGAGCGATGAGAACCAAAGCAAGAGGATCTTAAATACTATACTGATTTTGATTATGCTGGGATAATGGTAAAGATGCTAAAGATCAATCTGATGACACCCGGATGGCAAGGAAAGCACAAGCGCCAATCAGGCCCCCATCCCGAGGCGCCGAGGAACGCGGTCACAGCTGGCCAATCACAGCACAGGAAATCCCCGGCGCGCTCCCGGCCCGGGACTCTAAGGGTTAAGATCAACGAGCGCTGCATCCTAGAGGGCCCCCCGCACAGCCCGCCGGGGAGGTCGGGGCCACTTCCTGTCCCGGCCTCGGCCGGAGCGTTTGGGACCCCGGGCGGCGGGGTYGGCCGGGACCGGGCTCTTCCTCCGGGTCCCCTGGGGGTCGCTGGGGGGCGGCGCGCCGGGAGCGCAGCCCGGAACCGTGAGTCCTCCGGTCCGGGAGCCGAGGGCTGCGGGCGGSAGGGCGGGGCTGCGGCGCCGGCGTCCGGGGGTCGCGCCGGCGGACGCGGCGTCCCGAGCGCAGCGCGTTTCCCCTGAGGGCGGTCGGTCCAGAGCTGCGCTCCACCCCTCACCTGCCTGCGCTGTCCCAGTGACAGCGGCCATTCTCAGTGGCGTGACCTCTTAAGGACATGCTGTTGTGTCATTGATGACCTGAATTTGCCCCCTTAGCTCCAGTAGTATCGCAGGGGAAACGGTGGGACGGGGATCGGCCCCCCGAACCCTTGAGTCCTTGCTAAATTCCTGGATAGAAATGCCCGTTTTAACAGCCACCGCCCCCCGTTTTGCCTTCAGGTGTAGGATTTTTTCTTCCCACTGAAACACTGGGAATGTCTGTGATTTAGGTCACTTCCCCTTATATAACCGGCCCTAGTTGCCTAGTGTGTTTGGAACTTCCACAACAGTGGAGGCACTCTTGGAGGAGTATTTGCATTTCGGGATTCAGCCCAGCGCTGCTCCCCCCTCTCCTCCATGGTATCTGCTCTGCTTCGCAGTATCGCAGTATGGGATGGGCTTCCAGGAGGTGGGCCTCCCAATCCTGCTCTACTGTTTCCTGGTTGTACCTTGGGAAAGCTTCTTTATACCTTTCAACTTATCTGTGAAACCATCTTTAAGATTTTTTTTTAAATATTAAAATATGTGGGGCTATTTATACACCTCAGGCTATTTTGAGAATGATAAGAGAACCATGCAGATTATTTATTTCACTATCAGGCACATGACAGGCAGCAGCTGGATAAAAATTATACTGTTTTTTTTTTCGTTTGTTTTTAATATATGTGCCTTTGGAGATTCTTCATTTTAGGCTCTTTTGTATTATTTACATCCTGAAATGAATCCAAGTCCATAGATAACTGCCTTCTGGTGGTAGACCACATTCTCTAATCCCTTAAAGTGGTCTGGGGGTGTAGTTGGCTCCAGAAGATGAAGTGTGGGCCGAAATGGTCAGCATGATTATGATAGGTTAATAAACTAAGTGCAAGTCTGGAAGAAGTCCCTGTTCTGATTCCCTTTTATACTTAGAAGTGACTGGCTACAATTATTTCAGCTCTGCTTTGTTCTGTTGTTACTAATTTTATAAATCTTAACTTTCCATTGAAACTGACTTTCTTCCTTCTGTCAACCATCTGGTTAGTTATTCTTTTGAAACTAAACAAGTTGCTTTCTCTTCTTTAGCTGCTTCTTTTGCCAGCATAGGGAGTTCTTGGAGTTTTTATAAGTTACTAGTGATGCCTTTTCTGCAAGAATATTTTGTTTTTTCATATATTGGGGATGTGGCTCAAGTGGTAGCGTGCTCGCCTGGCATGTGTGGGGCGCTGGGTTCGATCCTCAGCACCACATAGAAATAAAGATATTGTGTCCACCAAAAACCAAAAATATATATATATATTAAAAAATTCTCTCTCTCTCTAGACTCTCTCACCAAAAAAAAAGGTATTTTTATGAGTGGACATCAAGTACTAGTTTTCATGTCTATATTTGAAGCTTGACCTTCAGATTTTTAATGCAAAGGTAATAATAAATAGTATAAATTATGATAATTTAAAAATTATTTTCTTAGAATAGGTAATCAAGTTTACTCTTATTTCTGAACACAGCCAATTTTCTTCAGTATGGTCTCAACAGAACATTCTGTGCCTACAATTGCTATGTTGTAATTGTTGGGAAGGAAGGAGGAATAAACTTAGAACAAGTACCTCCAAATGTGACCCCTGTTTCCATCCACAGGGTTTCTGCTCCCTAACCTGGCTGTGATTATTGTGATGGAGCAAGGAAAGGAACTGTTGGTGGCAGAGTCTAAAGGTTTCACCAAGAGGGAAAATTTGAGAGTCCTCTTTTCAGGTGAGGGATTGAGAAGATTGTCTGAATCATTAGGCAGTCTGTTACAAGATGTGCTAGAGACCCTGTGGACAGAACAAGGTGTTAGAATGAAAAAACACTTACCTTGGATCTCTGCTCTGTCACTTATAAATTGTGTTAATTATTTTGGCCTCAGTTTTATCATCTTTAAGGAAAAGATAGATGATGAATGATAATCTGTATTTCACAAATATTTTAAGATTAATGAGATACCACATGGAAAGCTCCTGTTCTTAGTAAAGGTGGTTATTGTTATTTCTGTATTTGCTCATATTTTAACTAAGCTGTTGACAGGTTGGATGTTGTCAGATGGGATCCTGTACACTTTCACCCCTACTTAGATTCCCTTTTTTCTTTCACATCTTCTAGCATAAAGTTTAATGTGTTATGTTTAGATTGAGAGTCTCCTTGACAGTTGCTAACAGGTTCAATTGCTTCACTTGTGCTGTTAATTCTCCTGCTTCTGGTGAACACATAGAATAAAAGAAGTAAAAAGCTTGAAAACACTTTTTTTAATATAAAATACTTGATGAGGTTTTACATTGTTTTTTCCTCTGTTTCACTACAATTCCGAATTTTCTAGTAGAGATCAGGAAATATGTTTAGAATATTTGTTTATTTTTGCAGGAGATGAAAGTAAGAATATTATGGGAACTGCTCAACACAATGCTCCTCAGGCAGAGAAACTCTGTCTTAAAGATAGAATTTCGCAATGGCCTAAACATCATGGACCAGAGAATATTAAGAATGAGGATACAAAAGAAGCACCATTAGCATGTTCCCAAGAAGATGAGATGTGGTGTCATGATTCCTATGAGAATGATGGCATGTCACAGTGTTGGGAAAATTGTATAAGAAAAGCAGAAAAACCCAACCACCAGGAATGGGACCCGGAAGAACATAACAGTGTTTCTGTACAGCAGAATTCATCCTTGGGAGAGAAACCCTACAAATGTTTGGAATGTTGGAAAAGCTTCAGCAATAGTTCTCATTTGCGTACTCATCAGAGGACCCACTCCGGAGAAAAGCCTTATAAATGCTCTGAGTGTGAGAAATGCTTCTGTAATAGTTCTCACCTGATCCAGCATCTGAGAACACACACTGGGGAGAAGCCGTACCAGTGTGGCGAGTGTGGGAAAAGCTTCAGCAACACCTCCCATCTTATTATCCACGAGAGGATACACACAGGGGAGAAACCCTACAAATGTCCCGAGTGTGGGAAGAGTTTTAGCAGCAGCTCTCACCTCATTCAGCACCACAGATCACATACAGGTGAGAAGCCATACGAGTGTCCTATCTGTGGAAAAGGCTTCAGCCACAGCTATGTCCTAATAGAACATCAGAGGACTCACACTGGAGAAAAGCCCTACAAGTGCCCCGACTGTGGAAAGAGCTTCAGTCAAAGTTCCAGTCTGATCCGCCACCAGCGGACACACACAGGTGAGAAGCCCTACAAATGTCCTGAATGTGGAAAAGGCTTTGGTTGTAATTCTACTCTAATTAAGCATCAGAGAATCCATACGGGAGATAAACCCTATCATTGTAAAGATTGTGGGAAAACTTTCATTGTTTCCTCAGAACTTCATAAGCATCAGAGAATCCATACGGGAGATAAACCCTATCATTGTAAAGATTGTGGGAAAACTTTCATTGTTTCCTCAGAACTTCATAAGCATCAGAGAATCCATACGGGAGAAAAACCCTATCCCTGTGCAGAATGTGGGAAGAATTTTAGTCGAAGCTCCAACCTTATAGCACACCAGAAAACGCACACAGGAGAGAAGTCCTGTGAAAATTCTGAATATGAGGAAAGTGTGCATCAGGACTGCAGTGTGGTAGAGGACTGCAGAGTCCAGCCAGGAGAGAAGCCCTATAAATGCTGTGAATGTGGGAAGAGTTTCGGCCTTAGCTCCCACCTCATTAGACATCAGAGAACGCACACGGGGGAGAAGCCTTACAGGTGTTCTGAGTGCTGGAAGACTTTCAGTCAGAGTTCCACCCTAGTGATCCACCAGAGGACTCACACAGGAGAGAAGCCTTATAAATGCCCCGACTGTGGTGAGTGCTTCAGTCAAAGCTTTAACCTCATCAGGCACCGAAGGACCCACATAGGAGAAAAACCTTACAAATGTACTGACTGTGAGAAATGCTTCAGCAGAAGTGCCTATCTCAGTCAGCATCGGAAAATTCACATGGAAAAGTCTCTTGAGTCTCCTGAAGTGGGGGGTTTCCTTCATGAGTGGACGTGGAAAAGCTGTTCAGGGAAAATGGCCCTCCTCCCTTCATTTTCAGTCTCAAATTCATCTTCTACCTGAGTTCCACGGATGTTTCATGCTGTCCCTCCTCCCCCACTGGACCATTATTAGGAAGGTATTTGGTGATAATTGTGCTCTAAAGTTTATTGGTGTGTTTCTCAAATGCCTGGAAAAAGTCAAACTCTCTGTTTAGAGGGAAAAACTGAGATCCACTGGCTACCTAATCTGTCCAGGGAGAGGCCACCAAGGACTGAGGAGGAACTTTTAAAATGTAAAGTGAGGTAGGAATGGCTTCAGATGGAAATGGAGAGTAATCCTGGGATTGAGCCAAAAGACCTGATGCTAGAATTGCCATTGAATCTCCTCATTTCCTTTTGTCTTATTGAGTGTAGACAGAGCATTATTGTTCTTAAGAGTTTACCCAGAAAAGTTCATTTTGAACAAATAATGCCATTGCCTGGCTGTTTTTGGAGGTCTTAAGAAGAGATGTACTTTTTCCAAATGCATTTTTATTTTCTAAAAATGAACTTGAATCTAGAACCCTGTGTCTATTACCATAGCTTTTAGCCATATATGGCTACTTACACTTATGTTGATTAAATGAAATTTAAAATCCAGTTCCTTAGTCAACTAGCTCCTTGAAAAGTGCTCAGTAGCCACATATGACTAGTGGCTGTTGTATGGGATATCATCATAGAAAGTTTTTTATTTCAAGATCATCATTCTAGAGAGACTCATAAGTCTTTCCTTTCAGGGTAGGAAGGCACTCTGGGGTTTTGCTCTCCAATAGGAATTGAAATAGAATAGAAATGGGTTTGAAAGCACTGGGTCAAGAAAGTGGGTATTCTAGTGACTCTGTGTTCTCATTTATGTTCCACCAACTGGGTTATCTAGTGATAAAACATCATTGTCTTGACTAAAGCCAGGATAGGAAGTAGGATCCTGAATTATTCTGTTTTTAAATTTTAGATAATCTTTTGCCTGAATTTTCTCTTCATGTTATTCCTGATTAGATCAGGAACTGGATTCTTTTTCTAATAATTAACACATTAATTCTGAGCCAGTGTCCAAGAATAGTTTGCCTTTGAACACTGATATTCTTTAGCTCCAAGACTGGCTGTTTTCTTGGGCCTCTTGACATACTTGGTCTGGGGATCTGATGATTGCCATCATCAGCTCTATAGAAATGATGCTTTGGGAGGTATTAGATATATCCTATTCCCCTCTCCCACTTTTTCCTACTATTGTGAAACATAAATGTGTAAAAGTTCAGAATTCCTCTGAGTTGCCCAGGATTGCATTTTATTGTGGGATTCAAAATATTATGAAGAATATGTAAAGATGGTATATTAGGAACGTGAAGTTAGCAGGACCGACTGCTGAAAAGGTTGTAGCTGGCAGGTAATTGGTTTGTATGAGGATTTTTTCATCTTTCGTGCTTGTGACACACGTGTCCTTTAGTATTGTTATATGATTAAAAAAAGAAAAAAAGCTAATAAAGGAATTTAAGATATATTTGGGGGTGATTTTCTGATTTCAGAATTTTTTTTTTTAATGTGACTCCCACCTATGCATCTTTCCACCTTTGTATGTTATATAGTAATGCCCAAGTTATCTTAAGTTGTAATATCTCAGGGCAAGTTTTGATAGTATTTTTTTTTTTTTTTGCCACAGAAAGCTGAGCGTTCAATTAATCATTAGTAATTAAATTATGGGTTTAGGGCTGGGGATGTGGCTCAAGCAGTAGCGCGCTCGCCTGGCATGCATGCGGCCCGGGTTCAATCCTCAGCACCACATACATACAAAGATGTTGTGTCCGCCGAAAACTAGAAAATAAATATTAAAAAATTCTCTCTCTCTCTCTCTCTCTTTAAAATAAATAAATAAATAAATAAATAAATAAATAAATAAATAAATTATGGGTTTATTATCAAGGCTGAAATTTAGTATCAAGGCAGCAGCTATGAGGCTAATCACATGATCTATGGCAAGTGGCCCCTCTGAGCCTCAGTTCCTTCATCTGTAAAATGAGGATAATGCCTACCTTGCAAGGTTGGTATAAGAATTAAATGTTTACAAAACTTCTGCCAGAAAGCTTAAAATAAAATGCAGTTAATATAAATATTAATGGTATTATTATTAATTGAAACAAATTAAAAAATGTCATCCACATGAAAAATACAGCAATACAGCTCCAAACTTATCCTGCTTAGAGATTCTGTTTGATTCAATTCAGGAACCAAAGGAACAAGGTATTAGAAAAGCATGAGATGATATGTGTTTTAAGTTTGTGGGCTGTCAAAAATGCTTTTATTTACAACACTTGGTACAGGCAGCTATGATAGGGCAGGAAATATTACTGAAGTTTTTGTTGTTCATGAAACAAAGGATTTGGATTAAAATACGAAAGATCAAAACAGCATGTTTGACAACAGGTAAATGTGTGTCCTCTCACCATCACCTGCACTATGTTTTATGACTGCTAACAAAAGAAACATGTTACAAACTTGAGCTCTACAGGAATATAGACATTCACATTTTATATTGGTTAAGATGAACTCCATTATTAAAATAGTTTGGTGAGAATCCTTGTATCTGGATAGGAAATAAGGAAAATTGAAGAGATTTGTCCCTTGTGATGAAAAAAATAACAAATTCAATCATATTTGATGTTTTTGCCTCGGTTTCACTAATCAGCTGATAGGTTCTTTGTTTAGCTCCATACAAAATAAATATTCTGTATTCTCTATTTTTCTTGTTAGAACAAAGGATTCAGCAGCATATGAATAAAGAAATAAGAAATTTCTTATTCACAAATTATTTGTTTTATAGTATCTTTTTTAATTAAAGACATTTTTCCTACTTAAAGAAGGGACTCATTGCTGGACATGGTGTTGCATGCCTGTAATCCTAGAGTCTTGGAAGTTTGAGGCTAGCCTTGGCAACTCAGCAAGCCCCTGAGCAAATCTTAGCCAAGACCCTGTCTCAAGCCAGGCGCAGTGGCTCACTCCTGTAATCTCAGTGGCTAGAGAGGTTGAGACAGGAAGATCGCAAGTTCAAAGCCAGCCTCAGCAAAAGTGAGGCACTAAACAACTCAATGAGACCCTGTCTCTAAATAAAATAACAAAATAGAGCTGGGGATGGCTCAGTGGTTGAATGCCCCTGAGTTCAATCCCCAGTACCCCCACCCCCTCAAAAAAAAAAAAAAAAAAAAAACAACCCCTGTCTCAAAATACAAAATAAAAAGGACAGGTTATAGTGGTAGAGTGCCCATGGGCTCAATCCCAAAACAACAAAAAACCGATATAAAAAATAAGGGGCTCCTTATTTTTCTCTTCCAGTGGAACAGAAATATGTCAATGTGCATACTTACAGAAGAAACACCCTTCCTAGCTGCTTTACAACCTTCCAGGTACAAGCTTAAGCCTCTCCTAGTACTGGAGGTAAAGGTTGGCTCTCATCATCCCATGTCATCCAAGCTGGCCCCGTTACTGGTGTTAGAGGCCAGAGGCCTGACTTGGGGGCCGCAAAAGACCAGATTTGGCCACCTACCACCTTAAAGAGTCCAGAGGAAGATGAGTGGAAGCAAACAAAGGAATTTGTTATTTACTGTAGCCACACTGGGAAGAAATGGGGACCTGCATCCTAAGCCCTGTCTTCAGGGTACTGATCAGAGCTTCAAGATTGTATAGGGAAGAAAAAACAGTGGAACAGGGCAGGGAATATTCGTGACATTGAGCAGTCTTGGTCCAACTGCAGTCTGGTTGATTGACTCTGGTCTGGTTCTGCTGGCATCAGGAAATCTTATTGCCCTCCTTTAAGGGGGAAATGTAGTTTCCTGAACCCTCCATCTTCAAATTTAATTATCTGGTCATCTGAGGAGCTAGAAATAACTATAGATTAAAGTAGGTTAGGTTTGCTCTAAAAAAGCAAGCTGTGCAGTTTGACACCATGCCTTACAGTCCATGGTTAGATACTGAGTGTGAAAGGACACTTGCAAAGTTCAAGGACCACCCCACACAGCAGAATCCTGCTGAGAGCCATTGCCAAGTAGGAATGACACATCGAAATTTTCTTGTCAGCCTACCCCATGTTGCTTAGAGGAAGGACTCTCCATTGTGGAAATGGGCTTGTCTTAGACTCAGGTCATTTGCAGTGACATTGCCTGTGTGCTTGAGTAAGGTGACCTTGCTCAAGGACCAGGGCGGATCGGGGGTTTGGGGAGTATCCCGCTCCTTGGGTTTAGGGCGTTTCCAGGTTTAAGGTGTACCCTGCCGGGAATAGGGCGTATCCTGCTGATTAGAGCCTGGTGGAGTACATGGATTTGGCCCAGAACGTGTTTGTAGAGGGCCTGTGTGAGTTCAGGAATAAAGAGTTGCTGTTTAAATCTACAAGGTGTGTGGTGGCTCGTGATTTTGAGCCCAGCCAGACTGCGGCAGAATCCCACTCGAGAGATTTATTGTCAGACCATGGAGCAAATTGACAAAGCTGTCCCTCTGAGGAAAGCAGCAGCCTGTTGGCACTCACCCGGCAGCTTTATAGCCTACAGGAGGTATTTCACAAGCATGCTTTAGGGGTTATGTCATGGGCTGGGGTGGGCTCGACCCTTTAGCAGGCACACATTCTTATGGGAAGCTAAGTAGCATTGCCTCAAGATCTCTAGATAAAATGCCTCCTAAATCAAAACCTAGGAGTCCCTAGATAAAAATGGCTCCCAGCCTAAAATGGTGGATCTGATGCCAATATTGATCTGATGCCAAAAATCATATGCTTATGGATTTTATGCTACTGTTCAAGAGTATGTGCTCCTACTAGAATGTACACCAAGTGCAGGGATAGATTCCATTTTGTAACCCAAAGCCTGACACGGAGCAGGAGCAGGGTATTTATTGATTTTGGTTGAGAAATGCAAAGGATGAGGTTTTCTGGATCAGGTTGTGTAATCTCAACATTTCCTCAGGTTCCTTTCACACCTTTACTTGATCTGGCCCACAGAGCTGGGCTGATTTGGAAGTACAAGCAGCTGCCCTGAAGGGTGTGCATGTATTAACCCTGGAGGACTAAAATGTTCTCCATAGAACTTTGCACCCAGATTATGTAGGACAGGGTCAAAACACGTTTCAAATTCAGATTTCAATCACTTACTGGCTGTCTCCTCTGTACTTTTCATTGCAGGATTTGGCAAGCTGTGAATGAGGTGAGGTTCCAGGCATGCCACAGATATTAAGGAAATGACTGTTTTCCTTCCTGTCCACACTCATTTGCTCATAATTTTGTCAAGGGTAGTGTAAAGGTAAAATTTCTAAGCTGCAAAGCCTGAGTTAAAGTGTAAAAGACCGGGCATTGTAAAGTTTCTAAACTGCAAGGCCTGGGTTAAAAAGTAAAAGACTAGGTATTGTTAAAATTCCTCTGCTACCCCCAGAACCTGTAATCCCTGTAGCTCTTAGGACAATACTGGAACTGCCCAGTAAATATTTCCACTGATTCCCTGGTTGTTTAATAGCTAAGGGCTCTGAGTAGCTCGGCACGTAGGCATCCAGGCCCCAAAATCAATCAGTTTGAATGTGTACCCCGCTTAGGAGTGACCAATCACCCCGTCCAGACTGTTCCCGCCAACGAATGTACTAATCATGTCTCAGAGTTGTTGTTCAATTTTCCCGCGCCTCATGATGATTTGTTCTGATGTATGCAAAGCCCCCTGCCCTCCTCAAAAAGTGTACTTAAGCTCTGCTTGACCTCTGCTCTGGGCTCTGGGCTGCTCTATCTTCCTGAGTGAGCCTGGAACCTCAGCATGCTGAATTAATAAATCCCCTTTGCCAATTGCATGAAGCCAGTCTCTTGTGTGGTCTCTTCCTCCGACGCTCTGCCGGACCCTTACAGTAGGTAGGATTCAATTAAACAGAAATGTTTAATTGCACCTTGGGGTATTATTTTTTTAAGTGTCTAAAATAGAGATAACATTTATCACATGAGTTTGTTGGGAGGATCAGTGAGATAAGGTACTTGCTTAGCATTGCTGGTACCTAGTAATTGCTCAGTATCAGTCATTACCATCATGAAGTGGCCCTAGACCATTATGGGTTTTTGGATCATTTTAGAAAGAAACTTCAGAGACATGAATGTCTCCTGAGACCACTAAAATAGGGCATCTTTTTGTTATTGTCTGCCCTAGGAACATGAAAAGACATAAATAGGAATGTGTAGAAAGCCATTTGGGAGGCTAATATTGTAGCATAATCATTATTGCAATTTGGTAGTATTTGAGCAACTTCTGCTTTTTCTGTTTATAAATTACCCTACCTTTACTTCCCTAACCCCTTCATTATTTTTAGTTTCTGTTCACTTTTATCTTTCTCTGGCTTTAACCTCTTCTGCCTCTTAAGTCCGTATACCAACTCAAATTCAGGCTTTTTTCTATCCTTTTTTTATTTTTAAAAGTTTTTTTTTTTTTTTTAGTTATAGATGAACACAATACCTTTGTTTTATTTATTTTCTATGTGATGCTGAAGATTGAACCCAGTGCCTCTCATGTGCTAGGCAAGTGCTCTACCACAAAGCTATAACCCCAGCCCCTCTACCCTTTATTTTATTTTCTTGCTTTTTCTCCCCTCCCATGACTTGGAATCAAATCAAAGCTGAGTATGGTCCAAATGGCACCATTTGGTTACATATGGAAACAGGATGGTAGATGTATTAATATGTTTTTTATTATTATTATTGCTATGGAATACCTGAGACAGTACTTAATAAAGAAAACAGGTTTATTTGG